TCAGATATCTGTATTATTTTTACTTTATTTGATTATTAGAAATCAAGTATGCGTTAAAGGTCCAGTAAACCCCACTCATCATACAGTGGAATATTCTTTATCATAAATTTTTTAAACTCTTCACTTTTTAAGCCTGGATTAATCCAAGTACCAGTGGTCATCATCTCATCAAAATCTTTCGCTTCAGTCTTAGGGCACAGCATTAACGGTAAAACCGCGAAGGATGACACCATTTCTAAGCTAGTCCTACGCTTTATGGCATCCTTTAGTTCCTCCGTTGTGGGCGGCTTTGTCTTGCAGTTTAGTTGCTTCATAGTTGTCAACAAGGTGCTAAAGTATTCGTTTAATAAAACGTTTTTCTTGTTTTCAAAGACATCAAGCGAAAGACTTGAATTGAGAAAATATAGAAAATCTACTGCCGGTGATGTGTAGACGCTGGCCTGGAAATCCACCTATATAATTATCAAAGAAACATGTTTAATCTATCGTCCTCTTGAATCTCCAAAAAGTGAATTGAAAATGAAATCCGTGCACCGAGAAAGAAGTGGAACGCGTGTTTAGAAATTCGCTAAGAAAAAGTTGAGAATTTATCAGGACAATGTGGATGGACAGGTGTCGGATATATTTGAATGCTAACATTGTGATCGAATTAGATTTATTGCATTATTTATAATACCTTCTTTAAAAAAGGTAAAGCGTCAAATATAGGCGCGTTTATCGACCAAATCGTAAGTAAAGAAATAAAAACTAAATAGTACATATCTTTGTATCCCTATTGGATCTTTCTGTTCTAATTTAAATAGCAGTAACTTTAACTCTTTTTAAAAAAATTATGATATCACAGAATTGCCTGATTCAATTCAAGTGATATGTACTAGTTGAGTAAGAACCCACTAAAAATCTCTGTAAGTTGTCTAAAATTTGTTTGTGGTGTACTGTGAGAATATTGAAAATACCCAGAGACAATCAGTGGTATGCTCATTATGATCTACATCTATACATTTATCTGTATATTTGGTAATACGTTTTGCTCAATTATATATATATATATAATACAAATATATTTTTAGTAATAACTTTTTGTAAAAGTAATATATAAATAAGAATCTTTTTAGCATCACATATATTGTGAATTAAATCACATGTAAGTATCAAAATTTTTAAAATTATACGACCTATTTTATTTGATCTTAATTGTTCTTAACTGCAATATGAAGCAGCAATTACAAATCAATGAATATTTATATTTATAGAAAGTTGTATGATTTTTTTTTTATAATGTGTGATAGTATGTGATTTTATACCGTACTTACAAAAATCTGATCAGTAGGATTGCTATCATTGTCATATTTAAACAACATATTTTTCAAGTGAGAATCGCCGTGATTAATAACATTAAATTCATTCTCAGAGAGCTTGGCTGCATCTGTTGCTATTTGATATATGTGATCGGAGAGTTTAGCAATCTTTTCCGAATATCTAGCAATAAAAATCATATAAACATAAATTTGTATAGATAATAATCATATAAATGTTTATTTTAAACAGCGCAATTGGTATTTATATTCGCTATTTTTTGCACAGTATGTTCAGTCTGTTTATACTAAACAATCTAAACATGACTTGTGTTATATTAAATGTTGTTTTATATAGAGTAAAACAATAAATGCCGTTTATGATATATATGTATACAATACAACTTACTTTTTCACTTCTGGCCAGTTTACAATCTCTTCTGATAAAGCTTTAGTACCCCTATTAAAAAAATCTTTCGTTTCTGATGGATTCTGGTTGTTAAATAATCCTCTTGTGTACATCTCCTTCTGCTTTGGTTCCTAAAAGATTATATTTTTATTCAATGACATTGATATATGTTTATGCATTTGATTAAATATATAGTTAAGTAATAACTAGTAAGTTTGTACTGCGGACTGATAATTTAGAATGTCATATACAAGATGAAGGCTACACAAAAACGGAAAAACTCAACACCAATAATTTCATTTCAAATTTAAATATATAATTAAATAATTTTATAATTTCAAATTATAATTTTGTAAATGTAAAAGTATTCATTGGCTATAATTGGACATATACATATATATTTTTAAATAAATACTGATCCACGATATTTATCTTAATTGGATTTAGTTGCTCATATAATTATTAAGCAAAATAATTTTTATAATCTTAAAAAAACTTTTCGAGATTATAAATTTTCCGTAACTAATTATTAGCAATTCACTTGATATAACAACTTATTTGAGTTTTAAGTGCATCACTTAATAGGAAATTGATAGTTGCTATTTATAGATAAGATAAGTTTTATATTTTTATACATATTATTTAATATTTTATTATCTAAATCGTACGTGCACGCGCGCGTGTGTGTCTGTGTAGTATATGTGTTTTATATATTTAGTGTTAACTGAATGTGTATTTATTCTAGATCAAAATTTATTATTCAAAATTTATTTCCTATTTTCTTAAAATAAAAGTTAAAATGTGTGATCTTCTGTTGTAAATAAATTAAAATATTATACACTAGTTAAACATTGTCAGAATGCAAATATGATTAAGATTAACATAGCATAAATCGTAAAATTTCTGATAGTGCTTGTAAGAACTTTCCGCTCTTTATTATATATTCGTGCAATTATAGTATAAAATAATATAATAAACATACATACGTAGGTATATATACAGGGTAATCCATTTTTAATAAAGAATATAAATAGATAGAAAAATGTAGAAATACAATATATATATGTATGTGTGTGTATGTATGTGTAGTGTGAATTTTTATATTTATTTATATGTATATATATATATATATAATAAAATAAAAACTGGTAATATTTAACATCATTTAGACCAAGTTGAAAAACTTCTCTATAAAATATAAAGGAAGGAAAATTGTATTAAGCACGTTATTCTAAAATTCTACACGTTTTACTAAAAATTATTTTTTTAGCAGAGTAGCAGAGTAATTAAAACTGTAACTTTTTATCTCATTTCAAACTAATGTCTGTTATATAAAAGTTTAAACATACTCAAATACTACTTATCACGTTCTTAAGAGATACCTTTGAATCATATAGCACAAGAATAATCTTGTTGCAATGCGATGTTCACCATGCAATCAAAGTGTGATGATACATAAGTGGGATGATCCACATATACTTGTTATATTAACACTAAGAGTTTATTATCGCGTTGGTTTTTGGATTTGTGTCATTGATCCGAATTTTTCATAATTGCAATAATACAATCGAGAATAATGATTTACCTTTTCGCATACAGCTACAGAGGCTGCATGAAACCTAGCTAGTCCGTGAAGCACCAATATGGAATGAGCTAAGTCGAGACCAGTTAGATCGGTCATGCGAAAGCCGAGAGGCATGAGATCTTCAATCGCTAGAAGCGATGGATGTTCATTTTGCATGTACAGACCTTTCCCGCTTAAACGGTGCTTTGGTCCTAACAGCTTATTCATTTTATCCAAGGTATCTAACATCATCGATGTCTCGGTACGAAAGAAATCTGCTTGTGTAAACTGTAAAAAGTTTAATTTTAATTATGATATAAAGGTTTATAGAACAAAGAGAACGTATGTGTGATAGCAAGTTTCGGCTTACCGGATGGCAAATAAATGAAAATTATATCCACAATTAAAATTCGTCTTGAGATAAACGACTGAAGAGCGCATTTTCTCGAAATATATTTAATTCTTTAAACTTGATTTATAAAAATAATTTTATCTTTGATTCCTAATTACTCACAAATGCTTATACTAATCTTTTCGATAAGTAGAAATTTATACCGAAATAATAAAATTGGCTGTAATTTTATCACTTCTATTTTTTCTCTCTTTCTTTCCCTTGTTTTCTTTTTCTTTCCTTTTTAGAAACATTGTATAAGTTAAATCAACTTACCCAATTGAATCGAACACTTTCGGATGTAGGCGAAACTTTAAGGATGATTGATTTCTTTTCTACAATCATACGGTCTTCTTGTTCACGCGAAAATTCAGCAGTAATCCTGACAATATCGCACATATAGTTGTCACCCTTGTTTGAGCCCGGATTCGAGAATACATTGATCGCTTGAATCGAATCGTCGCTTTCCGATTTTCGCAGAATCTTCTCCACGAAGCATTGATTCAGCCATGGCAATGTATTTAGAGCCATTTCTAAAATTAGAATTGAAATTGGAAAATTTCTTCTCGAAATCATTGGTTCTTCCCGTCGGGGTCCAAAACGCGAAAACAATTTTTGTAACAATTTATTACTCGCTGCAAGCTTTTTTCTCTTTCCAGCTAGCACCCCTCACTCATTTCGGCTTTTCTATTTTTTTTATATTATTTCTCGCATTCTTTTTCAATCGTGTTTCTCGATTTATCGTTTTTCTTTATGTCCATCGATATTTATATCAATAATGGGAATTATTTTTCCCTTTCTGACCAATGCCATACGTACATTTTATTTTGAGATCCCGTCGAAAAAATCGAATTATGGCATTTAAAAGAAATTTGTTGATCAACACTGATCTTATTCCGCTTTGTCTATTAATAAAGCCGACACTAAGATAATTGAGATAATAATTGCAATAATAAGATGATAGCAAGCAATCATAAACTGAAAATGTGACAAGTAGCTGGATATGGCATTTATCATCTCACTTAATATGATTGTAAGACAAGTGAGGAGCTAATATTTTGTTACAAAAATTGAAAAATATTAAGGTGGTTCAAAGAATTAAAACGTTGGAAAATCTAAAACAATAAACGCTACATAAATGGCGCATGTTATACCTTCACTATGTGAATCAGTTTTGATTTAGTGGATTGGTCCGCTTGATCGTTGTTGGTAATTCAAATTCTACGTTGAGTAATTTTGTTCTTTTAATATCGTATATCTTTTACAGTGACAAGTACATCGCTAAACAGCTATTAACCAAGGGCTGTTTACCGTCTGTAATTGTTCGAATTTACTGTCTCATATAATATCTTCGTAATCATTAATTAATCGCATATATACTTTCGGCGCACTTTATAATTTATTGTGTAAAGTGTTTTTAATTTAAAGAATTGACAAGATTGTCTGATTTTGGCGACCCAAAATCAATATTTTTTCGTTAAGTAATATTATTATTCTTGTAACTTTGTCTATCTTTCTCAAGTATTTGAAAAGCAGCTTTTAATCAAAAACTATTTCCTGGTTGTAATTTTTCGAAGTTCTAATAAGTTTTTATAAATGATAAGTAGAACAATAAAAAAATTAATATTCTAAATTAAAATTCCATTACTTACAAAATTATCGGCGATTATTCGATAGTGCGACAGCTGAATAACAAATTTATTACAATGGCAGATATAACTTGTCTATATTTGTCGAAACCTTTAAGTCGACTGTGCTTCGATAACGAAAGAAACGTGTACGATATTGTACTATATTGTCTATTATATTGCCCGTACATAAAAAATATATCTTAAGTTGTACATACGTCAGTGATAAGATTAAATAAAAAATAATAACTAAACCAAGGAACAATATATGATATATGATATGAAATTTCTAAATAGTAATATTAAAAAATTTTTAATGTCAAATAAATTACACAAGACGTTTCAGAGCAAGACTGCACAGAGTCTTTTTCACTTGAAACAGTTAAAAAATTTAATAAGCTAATAAGAGAAACATACAGAAACTAAATTTTGTCAATTAATAATAATTAAAATATCAAAAGTCCTAAAACAATGAACGCTGTATAAATTTAGGTGGCATATAATACTTTCGCAAACATTAGTTTGTATACAAGAAAACGGAGCATGTTGTACCTTTACTATGTGAATCATTTTCGATTTAGTGGATTGGCCCGTTTGATCATTGTTGGTGAATCAAATTCAAATTCTACGTTGAGTAATTTTGTACTTTCAATATCGTGTATCTTTTGCAGTGACCAGTACATCGAAAAACAGCTATTATATATTCTATATATTTCTTCCTGAAAAAGTCGGTTTCAAGTTTCAGGACAACGAAAATGTCGCTTACTGTTCAACATTTCAAACTTATAAAGTGTATGGTGGTTTACTTAAATAGTGAATCAACGTATTAATGTCAGGTTTTAATTTAAAATTTTCATCAATAAAGTAAAAAAATGTATATATATCCGTCACACAAGAGAACGAAGTTGAAAAATCAGTAACTTACAATTTGCTTGTTTTCGATTTAATGAATCGTTTACTAAGCTTCTCTTAAATTTTCACTGTGCCGTTTCGTACAGCCAACCGCAAATGATATTACAATCCTAACATTTATATATGACTAAAAATAAACTTGCTTGTCGATTTGACAAATTGTTTACTTCCAGTAAATATTCACTTCCCTGCACCGTTTTGTAAAGCCAACTGCAAATAAAATTACGATTCTACAACGTCAATATATGGTTTTATTTAACATTGCATGATAATCATGACGACATTTAATGATCTGCTTGTTACCATTTATTTATTTGACACATTTGCTGATTCATTCTGAGTCTTGGGAGAATAGATAAACTAAGAGAGTTGATCGACATTGAACTTATTCCGATTTATCTATAAGCAAAGCAGACACTACGTTAATTGAGATAACAAAGCAATGATAAGATGATAACATGCAATCATAAACTGCAAATGTGACAAGTAATTGCTGAGTATGACATTATTATCCCACTTAATATATTAATAAAACAAGTAAGGAACTTATTTCACTATGATAAACACTAAAGAAAATTAAATAATGAATATATACACTTACCGTATTGCACAGTATAAAACAAGTTTACTTAATACTTTGCTCGCGAGCTAAACGCTTCCACATCTCTGTTGTCTCATTGAGA